GTGGGTTTTGTTTAAAATGGGTTTCTTGACCTTTTTTATTTTTTATTTTTCAAAACCGTAAAAACAATTCCTCCTCGATTGAATGCCGTTCCGTTTTGTATTCTTAACACAAGATTCGATTTTGAATTGTAATTTTCAGGGTCGAAATGCTAAATATTTAAGACTTTTATATTCTTGAAATTTTACTTTTGAATTTTAGGCCATTAGCTCAGATTGATGCATTTCAGTCTCTACTACCTCTCCACACAGCTGTCTCCTCTGCTCGGCTTACCTCTTGCCTTGGGGCCGACACCAAAGGCCGCCGGTCGCTATCTCAGGGTATGCTCTGCAGTGCCAACCATGGAGTTTGATAAATTTTATAATGTTTCTGTAAGCATACTACTTTTATCTTTAATAGTTCCTTCCAAGTTGGTAGATTTCTGTGATTCTTTTGTTTTTTCATTTATGAGTTACTGAGTAAATTATCGTGTTCCTTTGTTTACATGTACATTATGTGGGATTGATACAGGTGATCATGTTTGGCTATGCTCAATAATAAGTCTCTAGAAAGGAAGTCTATAAAACTAAGTGTTGTTAATTATGTTTAGCAAAAGAAGTAAGTTTGACTTACTTTTAATGAGCCAGAATGTATTTGATAGGTAATTTCTAGTTTAACTAAAATGAAACATGGATAGAGAGAGAGAGAGAGTTATGGCATGTGATGACATGCATGAGGAGAGATGTGGAGAGTAAGTGGTTAATATACATCATTCCAGAATCCATAATGGAAAAGCTCGTTGTGTGGATGTTGTACGCTCTTTATTCTGCACTGTGCACAGTGCGTCTCTGGTTGCAATTGTGACCTATCATCAAGCTCTTGTGGTATATTTTGACGCCTTGCTTGTCATGAGTGTTGGTTGGGGTTGCTTAAGTTGTTGCCTATAAGGGTCGCCTATGACATGTATGATCCAATACGATAATTTTGTTGAAAGTTTTAACTTTATAGCAGTTTGGCAACTTGTGCTATAGATTCTAGATATCTGTATCGTCAAACTATCTTTTTCAAATGAAATGTCTCGGTTTAACGAAAGCAATCAATAAGGCGAGATTATAACGTCTTTTTTTTCCCCATTCAGACGATTTGAGGTTTTTAGGTAAATAATAATTTGGGTGTAAAATGTAGATGCTACATGATGGAAGGAAAATTGGTAATTATGCCGGGAGCTGGCTTTCATTGGAAGTTTAGGTTTTGGGTGTAGGTATTCTTTTATTTTCTCGGACTATTTTATATTTCAGTTCTTTTAACTCATGTTTTAAACTTGTTTTTTGTTGAAATTGTAATTTTGGAGTGTAGGGTTGTGATGTAGCCTATTGAGGTCACAGTTCTCTAGCATCGGTTGAGTTTCAAATCAAATCATAAAACCCAAC